GGGAAAGTTGATGAAATTTGGGCATGTTGTCAGAAGGGACTAATCCTTGGAAAGGGATATCAAGCTTGGAAAAGTGGAGAATCAGATAAAGAGAGAACAACTCTCCCTCAGAAAGACGGATTGTCACACTGACCCTGCCAACCACTGGAGCACGTTGGAGACCGTGAACAGGTGATGGTTCAGATCTGTTGTTCATAGGATCACTATGCACCCTAGGGGCAAGAAGCTGTGCTGCAATCTCAAAGGCACAGGGTTCGAGGCCACCAGCTCCTCTGTGGAAGGGTGGGTAATCTCCTCTTATGCGATTAATTGCCTCTGAAAACCCCCCAGCGCATCAGCTAGGACTCTACGGGTACACAACAAGAATACTTCCTAAGTCCACTCGATGGAACCTAACAGCAATAAGGTACGATGTAGGGAACTCTCATCATCCACCCGTGGTGGGATCCACCAGCAGCTCCACAGGAGAAATGGGAAATCTCCTCCCATTTGAGTTACAGGCTAGGAAACTCGGTGGAGGGTCAGCTGCGAGGCTGTTGCGACTCCATGACAATACAACAAATCTTACATCTCTAACACTCCATCTCACTTTCCGTAAAGTCTTTCTAGACGCCCCTCTTCCCTTTGCTGGGTTGATGCCTCTCTCTGTTAGGTCTAGTGCAGTGAATGTGACGGAGCTCTGATAGAGTAGTACCTAGTGAGTTGTACTGGTTGGAATGGACCAGCAGCCCTGCGGAAGAAAGATGGGCTCTCTCCTCTCATGCTATTTACAGCCTCTGAAAATTCAGCTGAAGCCTCAGCTATGAGATTTGGGAGAGTCAAGGGGAAAAGGAGAGGAGAGGAGAGAAAGAAAAAGAAGGGAGGGTGTGCAAAGGGGAAGGGAGCCAGAAAGAGCAAGAGAGCGAAGAGATGTATGAGCCCATTGGGGGGCTGCCACTGCCATCTAGTGGGAAGATGTAAGGTTGCAGTTGCCATCCTAATGCACAGGACCGCATCACTCAACACCTGAGAGAATTATCAAGTCCCAAAATCAGTGGTGCCAAGATTGAGAGGTCATGCTGTATGTACAATATCTTTATTCTAGCACTATACAAATACATGTGTAATTTCAAACCAGTTAGCCTTCCAAGCTAAGCTGCAGGTTCCAAAAGGACAGTATCTCAAAATTAAATGACATAGATAAAGATTCATATCCTAGACATCACTGAGCTGAAATAAATTGATACTGGCCATGCCATTTTGAATCAGACAAATGTATTGCTTACCAAGAAATTCTTTGAATGACATTCAAAGAATCCTAGTCACTGTGTGGATCCATCTTGTTGAGGGTCTTTTTCTCTTTTCATTGACTCTCTCTCTCTCTATTTTGTCCACCATGATGTCTCTCTCCAAGGACCAGTTCCTCCTGAAAATAAACCCAACGCTTTTGTTGATTTTGTGTGCTGTCAAGTCAACTGCAACTCACGGTAATCTTATTAACAGCAGATGTGAACCCCGGCCTATCCTGTGCTATCCTCACCGTCTCCAACACAGCAGAGCTCATTTTACTGCCACTATGTCAATCTATCTTGTTGTGGGTATATTGACCCTTCACATTTCTAAGCATGATATCCTCCAAGGACTGGCCCCTCCAAACAACATGCCCAAAGAATGTGAAGGAGCACATTGGTGTCACTTTCTCCAGGACAAACCTGTTTGTTCTTTTTACAGTCTATGGAATATTCAGTAATCTTCTTCACCACCATAACTCAAAGACATCAATTCTTCTTCTGTCATCCTTATTCATTGTCCAGCTTTCAGATGCATAGCAAATGACTGAAAAGTATGGCCTGAATCGGGCTCACTTTAGTCTTCAAACTGACTTCACTGCTCTTCAGTGTTTTAGAGAGCAATGATGTCAGTTTGTCCATTAGCTTTAGCTACTCTATATTCAAGTGCAAATCTCAGAGTTTTTTCAATTGGTCTTTTTTTTCTTTCCCATCTTTGTAATGACTTTTTGCTTCCTTTGTGTATGATATCCTTGATGTCATTTTCACAGTTCATTTGCTTTTCAGTCATTAGTAGTCAGTGCATCATCAAGTCTATTTTTGCATCAAACTTACTTTACATGGTTTAAATCAGGAAAGGTGTGCATCAGGATTGGATCCTTTCTCCAGATCTATTCAATCTGTATACTGAGCAAATAATTTGAGAAGCTGGACTGTATGAAGAAGGATGTTACATCAGGATTAGAATATGAAATGCCAAAAGAACAAACAGATACATCTTGGAAAAGGTGTAACCAGAGTGCTCATTGGAGGCAAAGCTTCATTTCTCATACTTTTGACATCTTGTTAAGAGAGGCCATTTCTTGGAAAGGGATAGACTGCTTGGAAAGGCAGAGGGTCGGCAAAAGAGAGGAAGACCTCCAGCGAGGTAGAATGACATGATGACTGCAATAATAGGCTTAACTGTATCAGAGATGATGAAGATAGCACAGGATAGCACTGGATTTAGATCTGTTGTTCAATAGGTTGCTATAAACCATACTCAACTCAGTAACACCTAACAACAATGCTCATGGAAGAAAAGATGCAGTTAAAGAGCTAAACAGAAGATTTCAAAGGGTGGCTTCAGAAGACAAAGCATTACATGAACTCTGCAAAGATTTAGAGTTGAAAAATCAATGGGTAATATGATTATTTCAGAAAGTGGAAAATATTATGAAGAATGATGCAGTGCATTAGGGAATGATAGAGCCAGAGGGCATATTAGACAGTATGATCAGGGAGCCTGTCTCTGTGAAGGTGACAGTGGTACTTTGATGAGAGAACAAGCTAGTCATGGACATTCTAGGCTAGAGAGTCTTCAAATCTTCCTCTATAAAAATAAATTCATTACAGTAGGAAAATTCTTCAAAAGATAAATTACATTGGGGAAATCTGCTGTCAGGGACCTCTCCAGAATACTGAAAAGTATTCTGCTATCAGTGTAGAGACTAAGGTGTCCCTAATCCACGCCACAGTCTTCACAATTACTTGCTATGCATCAGAGATCTGGACAATGAATGACTAAGGATGACAGAAGAAGAATCAATGCCTCTGAATTGTGGTGTTGGAGAAGAGTCTTGAATCAGATACCATGGACTGCCAAGAGAACAAATAGGTCTGTCTTGGAAAGGGTGAAACCAAGTTTCTCCTTGGAAGGTAGGATTTTGAAGCTCAGTCTCACATACTTTAGGCATGTGGCCAGAAGGGACCGATCCTTGGAGAAGGACATCATGGTTGGAAGGGTGGAGGGACAGCACAGGAGAGGAAGACCCCAGATGAAATGGATTAATGCAGTAAATGGGAGTTGGTATGTCAGAATCAGTGAGACTGGCTCAGGACAGAGCAGGCTTCAGAGCTGTTGTTCATAGGGTCATTATAAATGGCAGGTGACTCAATCGCACATAACAACAATATGAATCCTTCTTTGCTCAGTGCTGTATTCTCAGTGAATAGCATGCATGTGGTTTGAATAAACCAACTGCTTCCAGGAAGAAAAACATCCTATCTCCACTGCAATTTACAGCCTCTGAAAACCTTTTGGAGGGTCAGCTATGGGTCAGTTCCTACTCAACAGCAATGTCCAAAAAATACTGCTAAATGTTGAGTGAATGTGGGGAAATTGCCCAAGAAAACAGGCAGCATTAACTCAAGAGTCCAAACACTGAGATTGGGGCAGAAGTAATGGCAACTGGAAAAGCTCCAGAGGCGGAAACAACGCGGAGCATCCAATGGAGAGAAAAACCACTCTAAGGAGGCCGAGTATAACTGGAGCAAAAGGGACTGCGAGTTGACGTCAGCATGAAGCCATAAAAGTTTGGATTTTATCTTAGAGGCAAAGATGGAGAAGCTTCCTCTCATAATTTAGGCATATTGCTAGGAGGGGCCATTCCTTGGACACCATGCTTGGCAGAGAAAAGGGTCCTCGCCGAGATGGACTGACAGTTATTGCAAAAATGGACTAAAGTGTGTCAAAGATGATGAGTCTGGCACAGGATAGGACAAGACTCCGGTCTGTTCATAGGGTTCCTATGAGTCATACTCGACGGCACCACCACTAGCACCACAACCAGAAACCATAGCAATCTGTTGGACAATTTTACGCCGAAGTGTGGTATGTTTTACTTTTTTTTTTTAAAGTGTCTGTTTTTTTGGAGGAGAGTCTAAAATACTTGCCATAAGATGCTTTCGTTACTCCCTGTTACCTCGGGTTAACGAAGGATCTCTAGGTGGACGCTCTAGCCAGTGGGTCGGTAGAATCTGCACTCTCGTTGGTTCTTCCGTGGAAGCTAGTCGTTTCCGGAAGCGGCCTCGCCGCCTGTGCCCTCCTCTCTATCCGCCTTCGTCTCTTTGGTAGCCAGGGCCCCGCCCCTCGCTGCCGGCCGCGGGCCCCTAGCACCCCGCCTTCCTCTAGGCCGCTGTGCGGGCTCTACAGTCGGATCCCGGGTCATGGCTGTCCCCGCGGCCGCGCCCAAGGCCGGCGCGAGGTGAGCGGGGTGGCTGCGCAAAGCGGGGAAGGGCCAGGCCGCGGGCGTCCTGCTTAGAACACCGTGGGAAAGGGGCTCTTCAGCCCCTAGCCCGGTCCTCGAACCCCTGTCCCGGCTGGAGTGATTTCTGATCGAGATAGCTGCTAGGCGCCCACCTCCCTCTTCCTTCCACTTGAGCCTTTGCGGGAATCGCAGCCATCCTGTGTATTTTGGGTGCCTCGCTCTTGTGACTGGCGTTATTATTTTAAGACCGTCATTCTTTCTCAGTTCTTGGCACACTGTCCTTGAGTGTCAATGCACGGTTGCTTATTTCATTTTCTTCCTCTCGTGTTCTTTACTCACCATTCCATTTCACTCTGCTTCTCAGTCATCCACTGAGGTGCATTTAAATGAATGTACACTCCACCTTACATAAATCTGTGTCTGTACTAACTTAGAAAACTTTATTGTTGAGTGCCATCGAGTGGATCCCGACTCCTAGTGACCCAGTGTGATATGGGCACTAGAACTACCCTCAAAGGATTTCTGCAGCTATGGGCTCGTGAGTCAGAGATGAGAATGGGGCAAGGTTGAGGTCTGTTTATAGAGTCACTATGAGTCTGACTCGATACAACCGAATGACAATAGGCTTTATGAAGGGAGTTCTGGTGGCCTAGTGGGTGTGAAATTGGCGTTGCCATCCAAAGTGCCCGCAGTTCAAACCCATAAGAAAGATGTACATTCTTCTCCTCCCATGTGGTTTACGGTTGGAAACCCTGCTGGAAGATCAGCTGTGATTCAGTTCCAACTTGATGGCACATAACACCACCACTTTTATGAGACCTGCTGGTGCACTAGTAGTGCCATGGTTATGCTCTCCTGCTAACCAAAAGATTTTAATCCACCAGCTGCTCAAGGAGAAAGATGCGGTGGTCTACTTCTGTAAAGATTAATGATGAGAATGGGCCTCTATGGGAGAATGGCCAGAGCAGCTAGGTGGGTTTTAACTGCCAGCCTTTCTGTTAGCTGCCTAAGGCTTATACAGTGGGGTTTTGAATTTGTGTAAGTAGCAATATATTGTGGATATTTTTAACATTTTTTTTTCTTCAAGAACAACAATCTCTGGAAGCTGACCACCAGGCCTTCTATAGTATTACTCAGTGGGCTCAAACCACAAAACTTGACGTCAGTAATGAGTACCCTTGTGTTAACTGAATGTTTTTTGGTCCATTTTGTAGCAACATAAATGGGTTACTATACACAAATTCATGGTTGGAAAAGCAAAAGGTTAGTGAAACAGGAAGTTCCTTCACTGTGACTGCAACAATGGGCTTAAGCACAGGATAGGGCAAGGTTTTGATCTGTGTTTATAGGGTCACTAGGAGCCATACTACTAAGAAAACAAACAGGTCTGTCCTGGAGAGGGTGAAGCCAGGCTTCACCGTGAAGGCAAGGACTCTGAAGCTCCATCTGACATACTTTGGGCCTGTTGCCAGAAGGGACCAGTCCTTAGAGAGGGACACCATGCTTGGAAGGGTGGAGGGACAGCACAGGAGAGGAAGACCCTGAACGAGATGGATTGACTCAGTGGCTGGGGTGGTGGGGGTAGGTGTGTTAGAAACAATAAAATTGGCTCAAGATAGAGCAGGTTTCAAAGCCATTGTACACAGGGTGTCTATGAGTTGCCAGTGACTCTATAGCACATAAAAACATGAACCTTAGCCAAATCCAAGTACCTAACATGCTTAGTTTTAATTTCTAAGTGCTATATGATGTTACCAAACATGCATATTCCCTTAAAATGAGTGAATAAAAGTATGTTTATTCCCCTCCTGGTGAATACCTGGATTGCTTTCAAATTTTTAACCAACAGAAACCAGAGTGTAATGGATATTCTGGCACTTTTCTCTTTGTGGATAGGAATGAGTTTCTCTGAGGTTTCTACTGTTTGGGTAGGTTGCTGGGTCATAGCTAATTTTGCTAGAATGTTCTCTGGAATGATCCTACCAGCAGTGCACAGAAGTCTGTGTTTCCAAATATCTCCCTGGTTCTTATTTGTCTTTGTTTGCTTTTTAAATTGTGCACGTTGCAATGGCCAGGAATTTTTAATGCCTATTTTCTGTCTATGCATCCATTTCTTTCCAATTTTTGCTTACTTGGGTTTTAAGTTTTATCGGTCTGATGCATTGCTTACTATCTCACTGTGTTAATTTTCATTTCTTATGTTTATTAGGCATTCAGGCTTTCCTTTTGTGAATTGCCTGTTTATATCCATTTCTACTCTTGATATGGATTTCCTTTCTCTGTGACTTACAGGAGTTCCTTGCATGTTCTAGATTTTAATTCCTTACTGCTTTTACATTCCATAAGTACCTTTTGCAGGGTTTTTTAGGTTTTTAATAATATTAAAATTTTATTTTACATTGATTTGCATACAAAATTCATGTACATTGTCTTTCACACTTTCCTTCATTCACATTGTGTTTCATTCAGTCATTTCCATACATTGTGTTCCTTTTCCAAGTTTTAGTTCATCTCTGGCATTGGGTGAACAATAATGATGAACAATAAAGTTTTATCTTCAGTAAGTTAAATCCATGAAGTTAAATCCTTTTCCCTCTTATAGTTTGTAGGTTTGGGCTCTTATTTGAGAAGTTCTCTCCCACTTCAACATCTTTTAAAAACAAACCCGAGCCCATCGATCACTGTAAGGCTGATTCCAGCTCATGGCAACCTCACGTGTTAATCTGATCCTGAAGGTTTTTGTTGGCTGTAATTCAGCCAATCAACACCCACTTGTGCCATTCAGAGACCTTCAACATTAAAATATTGTTTACTAACATGTTCTCCTTCATTTCCTATTAACTTGATGTTACTGTTTTTCACGTTTAGATTTTTTAATCCATTAGAGTGTATGAAGTTGTGTGTGTTTTATAGAGTGTATAATGTATAGTTTATTCGTAGTCTAAAGTCCTAGTTATAATCAATTTGGAGATGAATGGATAGCAAAATGTGATCTATCCAAACAATGGAATATTAACAATAAAGAAGAATGAAGTCCTGATACAGCAAGGGTGCACTTTGAAAACGTTGGGCTAACTGAAATAAGTCAGATGTAAAAGAACAAATACTATATGATCCTACTTACACAGAATATAATTGATGGTTACTAAGGAGTAACAGAAGGAGATCAGCGTTGTCATTGAAGGAATACTGAAATTCAGTTTGTGGTGATTTAAAACGTATAAAAATGAATAATAGTGACATAGTACAACATAGTAAATATAAGTAATGTCACTGATTATATGTTTAATAGGTTAAAATTACAAACTTCATGTGTTTTTATGTCATAATAAATTAAAATTTCCTTGTATTAGTAAATAGAGAAGTTGTATCTGTATAGTTAAGAGTACAGGTTCCTGAACCAGGCTGCATTATGTTCCAACTCTAAGACCACCACTGACTAGAAGGGTGACAGGACAAGGACATAGTCTACATCGCTCAGGATTGTGAAAACTGAATTAATTCATACATATAAGCATTTAAAAGACGCTCTGGTGGCTTAGTGGTGAGGAGCTGTCAACTGAAAGGCACAGGGTTGAATCTACCAATTGCTCTGTGGGAGAAAGATGGGCAGTAAACTACTTCCTCTGAAACCCTCTGGAGGATCAGCTATTAGTTGGTCCTGACTCGATGGTGCAAACAATAAACACTTGGAACAGAACTGGATACACAACGTGCTTCGTGCACTCTGATGCTGAGTCTATTCCAACTCATGGCAGCCAGCTCTTTACTAAGTTTCTGGAACAATAATAGTTTGTGGAGGACACAGCATCTTTTTCTCCCATGGCGTGGCTGGCGAATTTGAACCGCCACCCAACCTTTCAGTTAGCAGACCAACACATAACCACTAGGACTCCTTATTTGCTTATTGAGAGCTGGCAATTATTAGTGTTAATGCATCCTTGGGATATAGCTTCTATTATGTGCCTGTTTGTATTTTACCTTTCTGTTTATTGGTCTTTTTGTTCCTGTGTTAGTACTGTACTTATTGTTCTGTTGTTGTTAAGTACTGTTGAGTTGGTTCCAACTATTAGCAGAAGGGAGCTCTGGTGGTCTATTGGTAAGGAGCAGTGCTGCGAACCTGAAGGCATGCGGTTCAAATCTTTTAGCTGCTCCACAGGAGGAAGATGGGCAGTCTTCTCCTATGTGCTGAAAACTGCCTCTGAAAACCTGCTGGAGGGTCAGCTACAAATGAATCTGACACAGCAACTACAACAGAAGAGGGCCTGGTCCTATAGCGACCTCACAGCCACGTTTGAGTGCAGCCACTGTGTCAATCAGTGCCATTCTTTTTACTTCCAATTTACAAGTCATACTCGACTCCCTGGCACCTGACAACAACAACCACTTTACCAAGCATGATGTCCTTTTCCAGGGACTGGTCCCTCACATCGTAACATTAAAGGCATCAGTTCTTTCCTCTTCCTTGTTCTTTATCCAGATTTCTCAATCTTATAAGGTGATTGAAAATAACAAGACTTAGATCAGGCACATTTTGGTTCTCAGAATGACATCTTTGCTTTCAAACACTGTTAAGAGGTCTTTTGCGGCAGATTTCTAATTTCTTAACTACTATTTCCATGTGTTTTGATTGTGGATCCAAATGAAATATCATCCTTGACAAGTCAGTCTTTTCTTCATTTATGATACTGCTTATTGGTCCACTTTTAAGGATTTTTGTCTTCTTTATGTTGAAATGTAATCCATATTGAAGCCTATAGTCTGTGATCTCCATTAGTAAGGGTTTTGGGTATATTTGCTTTCAGCGAGCAAGGTTGTGTCACTTATTGCAGATTGCTAATAAGTCTTCCTCCAGTCCTAATGCATTGGTCTTCTTCACATCATCCAGTTTCTGGGTTTACATGCCCAGCATACAGATTGAATTAAGTATGGTGAAAGTATAAAACCCTGATGCACACTTTTCCTATGTTTGAACCCTGCAGTATCCCCTTGTTCTATTAAAACAACTGCTTCTTACTCTCTATGCAGGTTGTGTTTGAACACAAATAAGTGTTCTGGAATTCCCATTATTCTTTGTACTATTATCCATAATCTCTTATAATCCATATTGTCAAATGCCTTTGCCTAGCCAATAAGACTTTTATTACTTATTTTTAATATATTTTATTACTTAATACTTTTATTACTCTAGCCCTGAATTTGACTTGTCTTTGTAACCTGATAATCTGAGTCTCTTTCTCCCCCTTTCCTATTCTTCCCAATTGTCCCAAACTCCATACCTCTTTATCCTTGCATATAAAGGTCCTCAGAGAAGTATCACTGGGATTTTGAGTGGTGGTGTATTGAATTTTTGTTAAAACAGCAGCTTTCTTAATATCAAGTTTTAGACATTTGTATTTATGCTGCCTTTCCTAAAAAATAATTCCTTGAGGCCTCCTTATGCTTAGCACAGCCTGTGTTCCTGCACGGACTGTATGGAAAGAGGAGGCAGAGTGAAATACCTCATACACACCTCAACCCAGGCCATGTGCTTGGTTTGTATTGTGAATGGGGTAACATGGCACTAAGGAGGGATTTAAATGCTGCCTGTCCCATTGTCAATAAAACTGACTTGTGTGGGAGTAACTGTGGCTCTTTGCAGGAAAAAAAAATAAAATAGTTCCTTGATTCTTTGTAACTTTTCTATACTTTTGTAAACAAAATCTTATTTTGTTTCTAGTAGGCTTATTGCAGGTATGTTGTTAATTGCTGTCTAGCAGAATTCTATTGATAATTGTGTGTTACCCTTATCTCTAGCACTAGTGCTGAGCTCCTTTCATTTCCAGCAGTTTATCTATTGATTTACTTGTGTTTCTTTTGTAACAGATCAAGTTATCTGCAAATAATGATAATTTAATCTCCTTCCTTTTGATCTTCAGCTTCATTTCTTTCTCTGGTTTTAGCCAGGATCTTAAAATACTTCACCAAATGGACATCTGTGCCTTATGTGTCACCATAATGAGGACGTGGCTAAAATTTGTTCATTAACTCTGTGTGTTTTGTGCTGGAGATTGTTAGCATTTACCAACTTAAAGAATTTTCTTTCCGTCCCTGGTCTGTTCCTCACATACTGTCTTTAGTGTTAGGAAACCAGGGGGGCCCTGGCCCCCAACAGAGCCATGTAGATAAACTTATAACTGACTGTTCTCTAAGGCTTACCTCTTGGGCTTCTCTTATTTTTTATTTTTTTTTTCCCCTTCAGGCCCAGGTTAGATCTGCAATTTCTCCAGCGGTTCCTGCAGATACAGAAGGTTTTGTTTCCTACTTGGTCATCACAGAATGTGTTGATGTTCCTGACCCTTCTGTGTGTGGCCCTGCTGGGTATGTTAGTGAGCACAGAGTGAATCTGGGAGGCCAGCCTGGTTTGGGTCCCTTATCTTCAGAGGCTGATGAGGCAGAGATTCAACAGGAATCCTGCCTTGCACACTTATCCTCATCAAAGAGTTCTGAGCCTGACTTCTCCTCCCCCAGAACAACTGATAATCTACCAGGTTGGCTTGATCCCCAGCCAGTACTACCGGGTCCTGGGGAACAAAGACTTGGGGGAGTTTAAGAGCCTGACAATCTTAGCAGTTGTGCTCATCGTCCTCAACTCCACGGTAAGATCTCTCCTCCAGCCTGTGTCTCGCATGAGTGTGGTGCCAACAGGACTTAGCCACTGACCAAGGGATCAAGCTGTGGGTGTATGTTCCCTCCTTTTTCTGAGAACTTGCAGAGCTCCAAACAGAGCATTCATCTTGCTGCCTCAACCCACCCCTTCCTCAGGGTTTTCAGCACGGAATGCTAGCCATGTGGTTCTTTCTGGTTTAACTCAGCATTCACTAGAAATGGTCATTGTCCCTTTCCTTCCTAGAACTTTGGCTTCTGAGAACTAAGAGTACTGGCATCAGCAGCCAGTGCTGCTGTCTTCCTCTGGGAGGACAGAGTTTGTGACAGCCTGATCCAAGTCACACCTCCCTGCCTTTGCCCTTCTGCATTCTGGAATGGCCTCTTTCCTCCGGCCGCCTCACTCAGCTAAAGGCTGCTCATCTTCTGAGATGCCTCTGTTGCTACCTGTGCCAGGTCCTTCCCAGCTCTCTCCTCCAGGTTTCCTCTCCCCCCCTTCTCTGCACTTTCCTAATGCCTTGCGTCTGAGGTAACGGTCTCCCCACCTTTGTCATTATCTTTTTCCTTGCTACACTGTGAGCTCATTGCTATTTCCCTCATGCTTAGTGCGTAGATGGCCGATAAATGGTGAACAAAGGAGAGTTGGGGCTCTGTGAGGCGAGGGTTTCTGGGGAAGCCCTTTCTCGGTTCACTTTGGCTTAGATGGCCGTGGGTCTTTGGTGAGTAAGCACCTGTGTACACAGAATGCTGCTCCAGGCTCTGGGACAGAGGAGTAGAACCTAAATAGAGTAGAAGACCAAATTCCCAACCTCCAGATGCTTATCAGTTCCCAGAATAAGACGCTGGAAAGAATGTAGAAAGGAGTGAGAGGGTCTCCCTTTGGCATCTGATGACAGAATGAACTCATGAAAGGAAAGGGAAATTCCATGGCTTCAAACAAGCTAAAGTGCTGAGTGGACGGAGGGGTCAGAGCGGGCTGGGGCTGGCCAGCAGAGGCCTCGAGCCAGCACTGAGCTGTGCACTCAGGCCTGCAGGAAGCCATCTGTCCCTCCCCCTTCCCCTTCCTCCCCTACTGCACAGCTCAAGAGCTTTGACCAGTTCACCTGCAACCTGCTGTATGTGAGCTGGAGGAAGGACCTCACAGAGCACCTCCATCGCCTCTACTTCCGGGGCCGCGTGTACTACACCCTCAACGTGCTGCGGGATGACATCGATAACCCGTAGGCGCCAGCCCCACCCCACCCCTACTCCTCACTGCTCTGTGTGGCCATGAGTGTCTGGCTCGGCCCTGAAGAATCCTGGTTGTGCAGCCTTTGGGGACGACCTAACATGGTTACGGGGGCATATTGTTGTACACAGCCTTGGGGGCAGGGTTGCTTGGGAGAGGCTGCAGGGCTGAACCTGGGGAGCTGAGAAGAAGGGACTAGGGCTTTGGGGGCCTTTTGTCCACTTGTATCCTAGACTTCTAAATAAAACACTCTGTAATGAAAGGGTCCTTAACTAGAGGAGCTAGAAAACGAGGCCTGGGATTTTCAGTCCTGTCTAGGGCTCAGTCAAGGGTTCAAATCCTCTTTCTGTCACCTTAGTTTATAGCTTTTAAGTTTATTAAGTCCTCAGATTCCCCTTCTGTAAAAAATGGATACTCTTGTCTCAAATGATATAATGTGGATACAAAGTTATGATTCATTTTACACACATGATAATGTGCCTGGCACATAGTAAATGTTCTAGTATCCATTGGCTGTTGTTTTGCAGATAGAGAAACTGAGGCTCAGAGACTGCATATGGCTTACCCAATGTCATATCTCATATTAGGAATAGAAATCAATGTGACTCTGGTGGCGAGATGGGACATGGGGTCTGTCGACATTTCCTTCCCCTCCCCTCTCACCACCCTCCCAGCAAGCACCTCCTCATGTCAGGTGACCTCTGCCCTGGTCAAGCTGAACTCTGCAGCTGAAATTCTTGGCAAACTGTTGCTTCTCCGTACTTCCTTTTGTAGACCTTTTCCTCATGGTTGCCTCACAGAAAGCTTCTGCAGCCAGGTATCTAAAACCAGGTGCAAACATAAAAAAGATACCTTAAAAATTGAGGGTGAGGTGAATGTCACAGATTTCCTGACCTCAGATCAGCTCATCCACCCTCAAGTTTTTCATGGGATGAGCTAAGCCGACTCAGACTCCAGGTGCTCCAGACCTTTGGGTTCCTACTTTTACTGAGTGGTAAACAGGCACCATAAAAAACCACTCTCCTGAAGATGTTGAAGGCTAAGGCCCCCATAGCTGCGAGGAGACCAGCTCTAGTTAGGATCCATCTTCTCATGGGCTCATTTGCATAAAAGATCATGTGAAGTGGTCCTGGTTCTCCACCCGTCAAGTCCAGTCCCCTGGGCCCAGTTACTCTCTCTCATTGGCTACAGGGACCAACGCATCAGCCAAGATGTGGAACGGTTCTGCCGTCAGCTCAGCACCATGGCTGGACAGCTCGTCATCTCCCCCTTCACCCTCGTCTACTATACTTATCAGTGCTTCCAAAGGTAAAGCTCTTCCCTGGGTGCCTCCTCCTCACCCTCCTGGTATTTCCCCAGAGGTCACAGTGGGCTGAGTCAGCGCTCGGGTCAGGGTCCAGGCGAGGCTTATCTTCCCTCCCTCCCATCTTCATTGCAGGAAGTCTCTCTGTCTTGCCTGCTCAGATGCCTGTCCTCGCTTTGGCCTCACAGTGTTTTGGGTTTGTTTTGTTTTGGCGGGGGGTGTGGTTTGGAGATTTTTTAATAATTTTAATGAAAGTTTACAGAGACTTAGAGTTTCCAGTCATTCATTGTTGCACTTTTCTCCCTACCCACCCCCTACCCCCCAATTCACTCTTCTCCTTGAAAAGGAAAACGTACATTGTTATGCAATCCCTCCCCCTCAAGTCCACTCCACTATGCAGCCTTCACTCTGGACTTCTGTAATGACAAGAATACCCATTCATATGTCCCTTTTAAACAGTTCTCTCCCTCCTCTGTTTCAATGCAATATACAACATTCCTCCCCTCCTTTTCTGTCTTCCCTCAACTCTGATGTCAGTCCCGTTTTACAACAATGGCCCTATAAAGACCTGGAAACAACCCAAGTGCCTATCAACAAACAAATGGATAGAGAAGCTCTGGTATATTCACACGATGGAATACTATGCAGCATTGAAAAACAAGGAACTCATGAAATATTATGCAAAATGGATGACCCTGGAGGACATTATGCTGAGTGAAATATCTCAGTGACAAAAGGACAAATATTACATAGGCCTCATAGTGTTTTTATCAGAGCTCTTGATCCCGTACAGGAGTCCCTGCCAGCATATGACAGGGGCTCCCTGGGCAAAGGGCAGGAATCAAAGCTGAGGTCTCCCATCTCCCTCTGGCTTTCAGTACAGGCTGGCTTGGACCTGTGAGCATCTTTGGGTATTTCATCTTGGGGACCGTGGTGAACAAAATTTTGATGGGCCCCATCGTGACAAAGCTGGTGCAGCAAGAGAAGCTGGAAGGGGACTTCAGGTGGGTGTGTCTCTTATTGGTGGGAGATCCCAGCAGTATTATCTTGGGGAGATCCTTAACCTCCCTTAGCTCTGGTTTTCTTAACTCTGAACTGGGGATGGCGCTGTGCCGGATTAAGAGGTTGTTGTGAGGATTAGTGAGATTACGCATGAGAAGCTCTGGGAACAGTGTCTGGTGCATCACCACCATGGCCATCATTCCTTGGGGGTCTTACTCCTGCTCCAGCCCATCTGATTTCATGTCATTTGGGCCTAGAAACTCGTGGACCCAGCCTCTGCTCTGTGTTCCTTGGCCTACTGCTTCAGACCCACCCCAGGGAGAGTGAGCTGCTGTGAACAGTGACCTTCCCTCTCTTGGGATTAGTGGGGCAGGCACTGCCTCTAGTGTTCTGGCTGTCCCCCTCACCCAGACCCTGGCATGTCCCACCCTTGTGGTTGTCCAGGTGTTGGGTTGTGCCAAGATGGTCACGCTTTGAGGGTGCACTTGGGCTCCTGTCTCTCTGAGAGCTTTGATCTGGGGCTCTTACAGGAGTAGGCCCAGTCCTCCTGTTGTTAGCACCTCCTCTTTGGTCCATCCAGGTTCAAGCACATGCAGATTCGGGTGAACGCTGAGCCGGCAGCTTTCTACAGGTAAGCCAGGTGGCAGCCTCTCCCCTTCTGTCCTGTCAGAGCCTGGAGGGTGGAAAGACAAGTGATCCCTGCAGCCCTCCTACCACCAGGCGTGTCCCTGAGCTCAGACATGTGTTCTCACACTCAGCGTGCCCCCCCCATCCCTCTGTATTTATCTCCCACATCTTTAGATCCCGGGGTTGGTTCTGATGTGAGTGGCGCCCCCTAGTGACTGTCTTTTAGTCTCCTGGTCTGGGATGGACCCTAAATTTGTTCAAACAATGACAGATTGAATGCCTCATGATCCTGCTATGACTGTGGGACATTTCCTCTGCTCGCTTGTCTCTGAAATGGTTTTCTGCCAGGGATTCTCTTGCCTAAGAGGAGATGGGAACTTCTTAGATAACAAGTAGGAAATCCGCTCTCCACAAACATTTTCCAAATGAGCAAAGTGGCTATTGTTTTTTGTTTTTGTTTTTGGGTTGTTGGGTTTTTTTTTGTGGCTTTTGTTTTTATTGTGTACCTTTGAGTTAAATCCAACTCATCACTGACCCTCTAGTGGGTTTTCAGAGGCAATAAATCACACAGGAAGTGATTGCTCATTTTTCTCCTGCGGAGCAGCTGGTGGATTTGAACCGTGTGCCTTCGGGTTGGCAACACAGCTCCTTACTCCTTTCCAAGTAAGCAGAGGGGCACTGACGAGAAATCCTTTCGTTTCTCTCCAGGACCATGAGTCCTGTTCTTGGCCTTTGCCAGGCCTCTAGAATTAGTGTGTGGACTGATAATACAGGCCCTGGAGGTTTGTGCTAGGCTGTGTAAGTAAATCCTTGGATCACACGTGTGTGGCATGGATCCCATAGCCCCGGGACCTTTGCTTGCCTGTCAGTCTCTGCTGCAGTTTGCAGCTGCTACCACTTGGAAGCACAAAAAAAGAACTGTTACCAACCCATAGCAGACCCTCCAGCAGGGGGACAGGAATTTGACTGGAGTGAGGAAGGCTGGTGCGAGGAGAGCTGTGTGAGCAGTGAATTCACCTCTGCAGCCCCTGGTCATAAAGCATTTATGCTCTGGGAATGCGCATTTGTCCTTGACACACCAGACATGGTTTTTTTTCTGCCAGAGCTTTGTCCTCTGTAAAAACTGGCAATCTCCTAAAATGTTCCTTTCTAAAAAAAGAAATAAAAATAATGTTCCTTTCTCCTTTCACCTTTTCTGGAAAAGCAATTTTGCCCCAAAGTCCTCTACTGTTGTGGTCGTCAGGACACACTTCTGCTGTAACTCTTTGCATATGGAAGGAGAAAGGCCATTCATCTGCTGGCCAATTCCACCTGTGAGTGTCACAAGCTCACAGACTTTGATTTCCCTCTTTATCCCACTAACTGACTAGTTCAAGAGTCCCTGACCAGTGCAAATAGCATTCTCGAATACCAACCTAAATTTGGTTAATAATTTGAGTTAACCTAGAAGTGCCTTGGAAGAAAGGCCTGGCAATCTGCCTCTGAAAACTCAAGTCCCTGCAAGTCGTGTGGAGCACCTGTGGGGTTTCTGTAAGTCAGAATCCACTCGAAGACAACTAGCAACGTGTCTATCCCATAGGTATTATTAGCAGCTCCAAGTCCTCTGATCAGGGCTCAGCGCATGGGCCTTATGAAGCTGGTAGAGCCCCATTGCACCGGGTCTGGGTCTCCCTGGAGTCAGGTTGCTCATGAATATATATTATCATTAGCTCCACTTTATAGATGAGAAGACTGAGTCTCCGCGACTTACATAACCTATCAGCATCAACCAGCTAGTAACTAGCCAGAGCCAGGATTTGAGCCATGTCAGCCCAGCTCTTTGGTGCACACAGTACCCTAAGAGATGAGTGAAGCGATGCAGGGATGCTAGCAGCAGAAAGGACCTGAGGCTGAGGCCATCTGGACGAGCTTGGTCCCTAAAGGAGGGTCTGCTGAAGGGTCCCCAGCCTGGCAGAGGCTATGCTGGCTGCGTGGACATCCCAGCCTTTCCCATCAGAGCCGGGCACGTGGAGCACGTGAGGACAGACCGCAGGCTGCAGAGGCTCCTGCAGACCCAGAGGGAGCTGATGTCCAAGGAGCTCTGGCTGTACAGTATGTGGAGGGAGCCCGGCTCCAGGGCCCCAGAGGTGGGAACCATGAGATGGGAGAGCCCCGCTCTTGCCCGTGCCCCCTCTCTATGCCTCCTCCCCATGCCTTTTTGCTTCCTCTCAGTTCCTGTTTCTCCCGTGGAGTCACCAGGGGAGGCCCCACCTTTCCCGTGCATGTTCGCAGAATGAGAACCCAAGGACCAGCTTGGGCATCCTCACACCTTGCCTTCTTGCTTTCCATCCCGAGAGTTGTATCCCCTGCAGAGCACGCCATGAGCCAGTCTCTTACACGGTCCATCTTCCCCAGTTGGCATCAACACGTTTGACTATCTGGGCAGCATCCTGAGTTACGTCGTGATCGCGATCCCCATTTTCGGTGGGGTCTATGGAGACCTGAGCCCCACAGAGCTTAGCACCCTGGTCAGCAAGGTGAGAATCTCTCCCTGTGCCACTTCAGGCCTGCCCTCTCCATCCCCTGGCCCAGCACATGGGGCTGCAGCTGGCACTGACCGCTTTTGTCCTGTCCAGAACGCCTTTGTGTGCATTTACCTCATCAGCTGCTTCACCCGCCTCATCGACCTCTCCACGACACTCTCAGACGTGGCGGGGTACACACACAGGTGAGGCTGCATCCAGGCTCGCCCTGGTCCCTGAGCCACTGGGGCTCAGTGATTGAGTGACAGAAGGAACAGAAAATCACCATTTACTTAGTGAGCACGAGACAGGCAAAGGAGTAATGGCCTCTACCTGGGACCCTCCTCCCCAGACCCTGGCTCAGTTTCCATTTCTTGCTCAGGATTGGGGAGCTGCAAGAGACCCTGCTGGACATGTCCCTAAAGTCAGAAGACTCTGAGAGCCTGGACAACAGCGAGTGGGACTTGGACAAGTGAGTATTAGGCAGACAGTGAAATGTCACTCACTGCCTTCAAATCAGGACTGACTCACAGCCGACCCTCCAGGAGGTTTTCGGAGGATGTAAATCACATGCGAGGAGATGGCTTGTCCTTTTCCCACAGGGCAACTGGTAGATTTGAACTGCCTGCCTTTGAGCTGGCAGCTCAACTCTCTATCCACTAGACCAGAGCTCCCTAGGTAATAGAGTGTAGGAGTTGAGAATGTGGGTCTCAGTCCCCTAACTGGCTTCACCCTGGAAGGCCTGCCTGTCCCAGCTGGTGGTAGAGTTGTAAGGACTGGATGTAAGAAATGTACATCTCTTTGAGTGTGGAGGACCCATTGTAAATGTTCACAATCCGTTGCTGTGTCAGCATCCATTGATTCCTTGACATCATTCCCCCAGCTGATAAAACTTGCTAAAAGCAGAGCACATCCCTCTTCTGCCTGGGCCCGGGTGTCAAACAGAAATCTGGAAAGTGCCCCTCCTGTGCTTTTCCCCCCCTCACCCGTCCTGGACGCCTGCTTTTCCTCATCACCAGCACCACTGCCAGTCGCTGTTGAAGTGATTCCATTCATGGCAGCCTCATATTCCAGCCAAGATAGAGCTGTGCTCCATAGAGGTTTAGTGGTGGCTGGTTTCCTCTGGCAGCAGATCACTTCCAACCCTTTGGTTAAGTAACCAAGTGCTTTAGAGATTCGCATTACCTAAGACTCCCTTCTTTTCCTCTAGGCATGTCTGTTCCCCCAGGTTCCCCACGCCTCACTCAGACCAGAGATACCTTTATTAATCTTAGATTGTTATCTTCAGACAGGCTCTGTCCTGTCTCTGTCCTTTCTGTAGGTTCAGGCCGCACTTCATCTTCTCACTTTTCTCGGGCCGCACTTCATCTCCTCACTTTTCTCGGGCGAATACTTACCTTCTCTGTGTCTCAGTTTCTGCGTCTTGAGGAGAGCTCTCTGGATGATGCAGACAACGTGCTTGGTGGCTAACCAAAAGGTTGGCGTTCAAGTTCACCAGAGTCCTCTCCAAAGAAAGTCCAGCTGCTCTGCTTTTGAAAAATCAGCCCCTGAAAACCTGTGCGGCCCTGACCCTCATGGGCTCACCATCACTTGGCATCTGCAAAACAGCAACTACCCTTTTGGTTTTTTTTCCCCTTGTGTAGTTGTTCTAAAGATTAAATATCACAGTCCACGGAAAATGTTTAGACGTCTGGCCACATAATAAGCTTTCACAAAACATGGGGACAGGGTAGATTCCAAGACTTAATATCAGTTCTCTTTTCTTCTCTTTTCTAACGCCTTCATTATTGCTTCTGTTCAAAAGTAAAGACAGAGCCCAGAGTAATGGAGCATGGACTTTAGGAAATGGCTGTTTTCTTGGGGAGACAGAATCCCCGATGACCCAGGAACCCCACACTGTTTGGAGTCTCTATCCACCTGCCAATAACATTCTATGACAGGTTTGGAAGCAGGACTGGCATCCACTTCCTAAACAACATGCCTCCAGAAACTCTATGAGCTTTGATAAATGTCGATGGTTGTAGAGGGGCTTCAGGCCTTTTGTTCATAGGGTCGCTATGAGCTGTGCTTGACTCAAAGGCAATCAACAATGGCAACATTACTTTGCTTATTCATACTCAACCCCAGGGTTCAAATTAAATCCAGCTTGGCCCCTTTACTGCTCTGTGAATGCACAAGAATCTTGTTTTCCTCATCTTTTAAGTGAGAGACCACCTATGAATCATGGGTATTGAGATGAGCTAAGGTCGGTCTTATACAGGCTCTGCCCAGCCTAGTACAGCAGGTGTCCCCTGACCCCCCTAATCCAGATGTACCCAGAAAGAGGAACACCAGCCCAGGAACACTGACACTGCTCCTCACCCCCACTCTCTCTCCTCCGACCTCAGGGCCCCAGGACGGCCAGCGGATACAACAGACGTGGCTTTTGCCCTTGAGAGGGTCTCCATCTCTGCCCCCTCCTCTGACAAGCCCCTAATCAAGGACCTGGGCCTCAGGATCTGCGAGGGCCAGAGCCTGCTCATCGTGGGAAACACAGGGACTGGCAAGACGTCCCTGCTGCGAGTCCTGGGGGGCCTCTGGACGAGCACGCAGGGTGAGAACTGCCCTGTCCCTGCCCCAGCCTGGGCCCCGGGGTGAGAGGGCGCTGGTGGGGAATCAGGATGATGAGGTGGGAAAGGCAGGAGGGGACAATGTCTGTGTCGGGGAGAGATTGAGATGGAGCTTTCTGTGGGCTCTGCAGGCTCAGTGCAGATGCTGACAGACTTCGGGCCGCACGGGGTGCTGTTCCTGCCACAAAAGCCCTTCTTCACTGACGGGACCCTTCGGGAGCAGGTCAGCAGATTGGGGCCCCCTCCCTTTCCCCTCCTCCCGTTCTCATCCTCTCACAGCTCAGCCCTCTGGGAGTGTGGTTGCCGACAGGTCTGAGACTAGGGACACACAGGGCAGAAACTCTCAAACTCACTGCTGTCAAGGCGGAACCAACTCATAGCAGAGGCTCCACCAGGTTTTTAGGAGGCTGTAAATCGCATGGGAGAGACTGCCCATCTTAATCCCTCAGAGCCACTGGTGGATTCAGGCTCCCAGAGAGATGCCACATTTGGGTTAGAAGTGCAACTCTTTATGGGCTATGCCACAGTGCTCCATCAAGGTCCGAGTGAGGTGAAAACATCCCATGTCTGGGTTTAAAAAACATTTCATTAATTGAAAAACAAGGAACTCATCAAATATTATTCAAAATGGGTGACCCTGGAGGACATTATGCTGAGTGAAATATCTCAGTCACAAAAGGACAAATACTGCATACAGCCACTGTTGTAAAACGGGACTGACATAGGGGATGGGGGAGAGATTGAGAAAGATGGGATAAATTATGAATACTGCATTGAAACAGATGAGGGAGAGAACTGTTTAAAAGGTACATGTATGTGATTAGGTATTATTGTCATGAACTGAGTCCATAATGAAGGCTGCATAGTAGAGTGGAGTTGGGGGGAGGGATTATATAACAATGAAAGATTTTTTTTCTTTTACTTTTCAAAGAGAAGAACCAACTGGAGGGGAGGGATGGGCAGGGGGGAAAAGTGCAACAATGAATGAATGGTAATCCAAAAATCTCTGTAAATTTTCATTAAAATTAATAATAATTTAAAAAAGAAAAGAAGAACATTGCATTCAACATGCACAGATTAGCCCCACTAAGCACAGAGCTGGATTCTGGGTCACCAGGATCATGAGTATTGATTCCACCAACCCCAGCCTCTGCCACGGGCACTCAGGCAGGTGTTCACTGGTGTCCTCAGTGGAGAGGAGCCTGGCCTCCCCGGCAGTTCCTGGGAGAAGCCAGATTTGTGTGCTGACTCACTGCTCACTGACTGTCTTCTTAGGCCAATGTGACTTTTGTTTTGTCAGGTGATTTATCCCTTGAAGGAGATCTACCCAGACTCAGGTGAGCCAGCACCCCCTCAGGTCAGAAGTTCCTGTCTCGGTTCTGCTTGACCAGGGCCTCACATATGCCTTTGGGGGCACCCCAGCCAGCTGCTGGCTTCAAGCTGGGCCCCCTCCTCCTCTTTCAATGGTGCACTATTGTGGGGTCTAGACCTTCACCTTGTCTTACTCTGTTGCCCCCTCCCTGAGCAGTGTCACCCAGTGGAGGAAGGAAGATGGTGTCTCCTTTACCTGCGCTGGCCCCTTTCCAAAAGGAGTGGATCACTGGAAGTAGGCTTCTCTTTTGCAGGTTCTACCGATGATGAGAGGATCATGAGATTCTTGGAGGTGGCAGGCCTGGTAAGTGGAACTAGGGACCCAGAACCCACAACCCACCTGGGAGCACCCACCAGTCACTTCTTCCATGCATGTTGAACCCAGCAGAGCCAATCTCAATTGTCTGGACCCAGGACTGCCTGCCAGTATGAGCCTGGGGTCAGGGGTGCAGGAAGACCAAGTTAGACAGCTAGAACAGACTGCAGGGGGCTGCTGGCCAGCGCGGGTGATAAGGGGTGCATTGTCTGTAGAGAATTTGAGAATATGAAAGGTGACTACATCAGTTTGCTGTCATTGTCTAAGCAGTCATTTGTAGGATGCTCCCCTACTTTACGTGGCCAAGGGTGTGCGTGTGTGTGTGTGTGTGTGTGTGTGTGATATACTATAAGGACTGGGGGAACCCCTCAGGGTGGCAGGATGGACCCTTTCACAGATAATGTCCCTCTGGGTCTGTTACAGTCCAACTTGGTGACAAGGACAGGGGGCCTGGACCAGCAGGTGGACTGGAACTGGTAAGGGTATTGGGGTGCTCCTCAACCAGCTCTCTGACAAAAGGGATGGAGATGCCTCCTGATGGCAAAACCAGGTGTTTGGCCTCTTGAGGGCGTATTTTACAACCCCAGGAGCAGAGTTTGGGCCATACCTGGGTGGACAGAGAGGCTGAGGTTGAAAGGGTGACTGTTTTCATCTGTTTGCAGAGAGAGCCTCTTGTCCATACCCATTCTAGGCAGGAGCTGTGCTCTGCCCCTTAGAAAGTTAATGACCTTATCAGAGCCTGTAACCTGTCACTTCAGCTGCTCAGTGCAGCACTGTGCGGCCTCCAGCAGTCACCTGTCACTCCCCTTCCTCAGGTATGATGTTCTGTCACCAGGGGAGATGCAGAGGCTCTCCTTCACCCGCCTGTTCTATCTGCAGCCAAAGTACGCAGGTGAGGACCACCCCTCGGTGCACACAGGCAGAGCCCACAGGTACCTGACTGTCCTCTCCCTGCACCCGGCAGAGGATGCCCTCGCTAGCTCCTCCTTCCCTGCCCTGTGCTGAGCTGTGACTGCATCACAGGCCCCTGGCAGGGCTGGGCCCAAGAGGCATTGGCACCCACTGTAGCTCTGGATGTGTCACAATACAATCTGTGTCTCTCCTGCCATTGTTGCAGCTGGGCCCAGGGAACCAGCCTGAGGGGTTGTGGTTTTATGTCCTCCCCTCCGCCCCCCCCCCGGCTCTGTTATCAGATGAAGAGGCATCTCCCCAGCTGTGCCTGGCAGAGAGGTGCCTGGCCAATGCAGACTGTTCCAAAGGCTGATGTCTCCACGGGAACTCATTCCCTGGGTTAAGTGGATCCAAGGAGTGGCTGATGCCTGTCCGCAGATGGAGTCTCAACCCTGGTGGAGGGATTCCCAGGTGGGGTCTGGGCCTTGTCTTTCCTCAAGGCGGGGCTCCCGTCAGCCAGAGCTGTCTGAGCATGTGTACTGGAGAGAAGCAGAGGTCTGCAAAGAAACAGATCGTCCAGGGCTTTGATTTCTTCCTGTATGTTCTGTCCTCAGTGCTCGATGAAGCCACCAGTGCCTTGACGGAGGAGGTGGAGAGCGAGCTGTACCGCATCTGCCAGCAGCTGGGGATGACGTGCATCAGCGTGGGGCATCGGCGCAGCCTGGAGAAGGTACCCGTGCCCGTCAGGAGGTGGGGGAGCTCAAAGGCTGGTGCCTCAGAAGGCAGAGAAGGGGTGGCAGAGAACTCAGGAGGCCGGTGGACAGCCTGACCTCTGTGTGCTATTGGTCTCTTGTAGTTTCATTCCTGGGTTCTGAGACTCTATGGAGGAGGCAGATGGGAGCTGACCAGACTCAAAGTTGACTGAAGTCAAGGATGCAAATGGCCACAGGAAGGAGGCAGGTCGGGCGGCTCCCAGAAGAGACCAGGAGAACTGACTGGGAAAAGAATGAGCCCAGGTTGGCCCGCAGGTCCTGTGTGAGGACCGCAGGCAGCAGTGGGCTCACCCACAAGGGAGACTCTGTGGACACCCGGCCTCACTGGGCTCCTCCTGCTGGATGTCCCATGTGCTGCCGTGCTGACTGCTCAGAGGTTAGCTCAGATCACGTTTTCTAAAGAAAGATCGCAATGTTTGGGATCTACAAGAAATGAAGAGTCAAAGTGGAAAGAAAATTGGAATCAAGAGATTAGCTAAATATTGCAACAGGAGATTTTTCACTTTAATTAACTGACTATTTAAATTGTTAAACTTTTTTTAAAAAAAAAAAGGTTAAAAATGAAAAAAAATTTATACCCTTTTCTTTCATTTCTGTCTTCTCCATTATGCAATGATCTTTTTAATCTCCAGACTAGATAGAAGGAAACTGTTCTGGAACCTTCTACACATGTTGGGGTTTTTTCTCTTCACTCTGAATGTCCCTTTTCTCCTTTGTCAGTTGAGTACCTGAGCCACTGAGTCCCTAGAACCACTCTGTTGGGTTTTTCATAAACAGAAAAATCGAAAAAGGACAAAAGCATGGAAAAGTGATTGGACACTTGAACAATGTTCCCCAGAATTCAGTTGTCCAGGTACCATCTTCATAACTTGCTGGATGTGTGTTCTGCTTGAATTGTTAACTACCTAATATATTTTTAAATAAAATAACTTTTTAATTTTAAATGCATTTTTTAAATAAATATATATTCAAAAGGCATTTTATACTAAACATGAATAGAAAGTAACTGTAAAAATAGAAATGTTGTCCTTTCTCTCCTCCCCCATCTGAAGAATGGGGGTAGAAGGAAGACACAATGCAATCTTTGATCGTTTCCATCATGTGTCTACTCGCAATAGCAACTTAACACATCAACGGTGCCTCAAACCTGTTAGGCCCAAAACTCAACTGGACTTTCCTCAGAACTTTTTCTAGTGTCTCTTTTCCATACAGTGGCCAGAACCATCCTCTTACCCAACCCATCAGCAAGTTCTGTCAGTTCTGCCCTGTAAATAGATCTTCCGTCATCTCCTTTTCTACATCTTGAATCCTATCTGGAAGAAACCCAGAACAGAGATAGAAAGGTGAGGGGCCAAACGGCAGAAACAGGAGACCAGTGGAGCCGCACCTGGAGAAAGAAGTGTTGGGAGGCAGCCTGAGCACCATCCTTTAAGGAGCGTTAGTCGCTACAGCCATCTGAAATGAAGGCACACCAGTTATTAATCATCAAATATTGACTGAACACCTGCCACCCATGAGCTACACTGTTCTGGAGTCCAGACTTCCAGTGGGCAAGAAGGTGGACCCCGTTCCTCTCTTGTGTTCCATTCTGGGTGGACTTGAGACTGTAAAAGAACACAGGAAAATGCTTTAAGTGGCCAAATGCTTAAAATTACTTAACCCCAAATAGAAAAGGTTTACAAAATTGTACATATGATGTGAAGCCATAGAAAGTCTTTTAGAGTCACCTTAGAATTCAGTGATTCATACACATGTGAAAGCTGGACAATGAACGGAAGAATTGCTGCCTTTGAATTGCGGGGTTGGTGAAGAGTGTTGAGAGGACAGGGTTCAGCTATGTTGTTCATAGGGTCACTTTGAGTCATACTCGATTTGACAGCACCTAACCACAACATTCCTTTATATAATGTTTCTTTCCGTGCCTCTTAGATGATTTGCCATTCTCCATGTTATTTGTATAATTACTTGAATTCTATCTGCAAGTTCAGAAGAACAGAAACTTGAGACGACTGTGCTGCTCACTGTCACCCCAGGGCCTTTCCCTAATACGTGTGCTGTTGTTAGTTCCTCTCAGTTAAAATCCAGTTCATGGTGACAGCTGGGGTGCAGAGTCAACCAGAAGGTTCTCAGGCCTGTGACATTTCACCAAACCTGGTCACTAAACTCTGTCTTCTGAAGTGCCCCTGGATGGACTCAAACCACCAACCTTTCAGGCAGTAGTCAAGGAACTACTGTGCCACTTAAGGATTCCTGCCTGGCACATAGTAGGTGTTTAATAAATGTTTGAAATTATTGTAGAAATAGACGATTAGGAGCAGAACATTCATTCATTCACAAGTGCACTGCATCGAGTGTCAGATCCTTTGATGAATTTGGAAGATAAAAGACAAACAAGATTCACCTTTAGAGACAGCTGCTTTATTGGGGAGGGGGCAACTCAATTGCTGTCTAGTGGACTCAGATTCATGTGTGCACTCAGCCTCCTCACGTTTTAGTGAGCAGACAAGCATGTTAATTCTCTGTACCCCCAGGGACTCCTTGTATAGGTAAGATCTATTTATAATAAGAAATGACAGTAGATGTAGGAACTGCCACATAGAGGTGTGTCCCAAATGCTAAGGAACAACAAAGGTTAAACTCTTTCTGGAGGGTCAGGAAGGTTTCTGGAGAAAGAACTTGAAGGACAAATGGAATTCTGTTTACTAGACCAACGGGGACTTGGAGAGGCCTGAGGACCCCTACATGGAGGACTTGGAAGCAAAGGAAGTGGTGACTCCCCAGGGACCACCTCCTAGGCTCCCGGTCTAAAGGGACCCCTCCTGGGTCCAATCTGAGGTGCAAAGGCAGCTCAGCCACCTGGCATGCTGCCTCGCTGATGGGCTACCAGAGACTTTTTTTCCAAAAGGGAGCTCTATATCTGAGCCAATTTCAAACAATCTTAATGATTTCGTGAACCAGAAGCTCAAAGATAACCAAGCCAGTCTGCCCGCTCCGTTCTCTCGTCTTATAATTCCATCCAGCACATCAGTGAGTTGGCGGGTCACAGCTGTCTGTTGGCAATTTCATGTGGTTGTCACACAGCTGCTTCTCGATCCTCCCTGCCCTCCCCGTGACTGGGCTTCCCTGACTTACCATTCTGCATTAAGTTAATTTTGGGCATTACCTTGGCTAAACTATGTTGCCCAGTTGTTGCTAGGAAGGTATTCCCGTGCAATGAACTTTCCCAATCAGATGATTTGCAGTAAAGTGGATTAGCCACCGTAATAGGGGTGGGCTTGAACCAATCAGCTGAAGTTCTTAAGAGCAAAGGCAGACGTTGCAGAAGATGATTCTGCCTCATGACTGTAATACAGAAATGAGCCCAAGTTTGCAGCTTGTTACCTACTTGCAGACGAATCTGGTGGCATGGTAGATAAGTGTTAGCAAAAGGTCAGCAGTTTGAACACACTGGCTGTTCTGCTGAAGAAAGGTGAGGCTGACCTTTGAGATGTACAGCTTGGGAGCTCAGTGGAGGCCACCAGGAGTCTGAATTAGGCAGATGGCAGTAGGTTTGAGGTTTTCTCGTTTACCTGCTTACAAAGGTTGGACAGAGCTTCATCTCACATCTTTGGGGCATTTTGTTAACAGGAGTTATTCCTTGGAAAGGGGTATGGTGTTTGGAAGACCTCCAAGAAGATGGACTGACCCAGTGACTTCAGCAATGGGCTCAAGTGTGTCAGAGATGATGAGGATGGTACAGGTCAGGACAGGGTCCAGATCTGTTGTTCATTGGGACATGAGTCATACTCAGTGGCACCTAACAACAAAGTTTGAATTGCCTGCCTCCACCACAAGCAATGCGGTGCAAATTCCTATGATGACTTTTCTCTCTACGTAATTCCTACTAGTAGTTCTGTTTCTCTGGAGAACTCTAGAATGGTTACCCTTGTTGAAGTTGTAGAGGTGCAAATGCATCCATGAACTCAAAAGGAAGGGAGGCAGAACTCAGGGGGCCGAGGTGGGCTGTGGGTTCATGGAGGTGGGAAGGTATTTCATTAGTGTTTAGTCACAATGTCCATTTATTGGGTAGGGGAGGGAGGGAGGCATAAGTGTAACTGGAGGCTCTGTGACTAGGACATTTGTGCTTGCAGCTGAGTGCCCCTGTCACAGTGACAAGAGCCGTAGAAGGACAGTTTCACATCATTGGACAGAGGCAAGGTGTCAGTGTCATGTCATAGGAGAGAGGCAAGGAGCACCAGGCCTCTCCAGGTGGAGTCATTTAAAAAGAAGAACCTGGTACTTTTGATTAAAAATGACTTATGGGCTGGTTTTTCTGCCACATGCGCGCACGCACACACACACACACACACACACCCGTGCCTCGCTCCCCCAGAGAGGACTCCAAGGCCCCTTTTCTGCTGTTTTTACACCAATTTTATTCATACTTTTATCTTTACAGAAAATGGCACAGAAATCACAGCTTTAGAATATCTAGAAGTTATTACAGTTCCATGTGTCAAACGCCTCTATATCAAGTTTCTTTCTTCTCACTGTATGTACATTATTTACACACCAGGGGCTATACCCTAACACTTCAAACCAATGGGGGACAAAGACAAAAACTGAACAGAATGAAGAACTCAACTCTGGGTACAGAACTAAAATTGCAGCTCACTGTCTCAGGCCTTTCTCTTGCGAGGTATTCCCTACAAAGCTGGCAAATAAAGAGGGAAATGTCATAGGTGGGCAGGTTTGCTCTTGGCTTGGGAATATGGGTTCGGTGGGCTCACCAAGGCTATGGGTTCTCGTTACTAGTTTGAATGGTGAAGGCCAAGGTGAGATGGGCAGAGGCCATTGGCACCCACAGGTACCCCCATCAGAGACAGGAAGAAGCAGCCCACGGTCTCCTAGCCCCACATTGTTACGTCACCTGTCATTCTAGCCCATGCACCATAGCATCCAACACCTGGCATAGATGTAGGCGTGTATAAGTGCCCTGCACCTTGCTTTAGGTTTTAAGCTGGCCTACAGGCCCTGAGCTCCTCCAACAATCTGCTAATGAGTATTTGCATCTCCAAGTGAACTCTAGGGCTGGCCTCACTAAACAGCCTTGATGAAGCTGAGGCAGAGTTTGTAGCTTCCTAGGTGTTCAGCTAACAGCTAGATTGGGTTACTCCAAGGGTACACATGCCAAGCAGTAGTTTGCAGAAAGTTCTAGCAGGAATGTACAGCAAAGTCAAGGTGACAGGCAGCATATCAAGTCAGGGGCCTTTAGGGCTACGACTGCCCGGGTCAGTGCAATGAGCCACTGCACTGTTGAGAGAGGTGTCCCCTCTCTACAAGGCCCAGGACTTGGGCTCTACAGGTACATTAATGCCACATGCGGTGTTGGCTCCTGTGATGGGAAGGACCAGTAGGGTAGGCTGTGTGTGAAGAGGGCAGTTCCCAAGGTAACCATGGGGCACATGAAGCTGAGGGGTTGAGATATCCCATGTTTAATCTGGAGTCTGAACCCCCAAGGGTGGACTGGAGCCTGCAGGGCAGCACCTGACTCAAGCCCAGGCCTAGGTCTGAGGAAGGGACAGTCTGAGGGCTGGAAGCTGACTTTTGCTGAGGGCTGGTGGCTTCAGGCCCTGGAGCTGGAGGATGGGTCCTTGGGCAGTACATTTGCAGCAATGGGAGTGGTTGGAACAGAATGCACAGGGGCAAAGCTGGGAAGGCAGGCTCATTAGACAAGAAACAGAGTCAAGAGTGGGTTTGAACAGTGAGAGCTGCCAAAGCATTGAGTTAGAGGGGGTGACTTGGGACAGCAAGAAGGGTCCTGGGATGAGAAGAATGCTGAGAGGTCAGGACTAAGGGGTGTTTCAGCGTGATCCAAAGCCTCGGCCATCACAGAGCTAGCTGCTCCTGGAGTTATTCCAGGGGTCATGGGGGCCTACGGGGCTGGAAGAGGGCAGCCAGGCCCTGGAGAACAGCTTCCAGCTCCCCAGCCCCCCAGAAAAGCAGAGTCCTGGGCTTCTGGGTCTGTGTGGCCCTCGACCTAAGCCATGTCCTCCAGCTGTGGTGGGCTCAGCTTCTCTGTGGTCCTGTCTTCATCCATGGCCTCCTCCTCCTCGGGCTTCTCAGCGTTCCGGGCCAGGCTGTCGGGCCCAGACACAGTCCCCAGCACCTTGGTGCTGTGCTCCTGAGCTTTGGCCCTGAGCGCTGCAATGCTGTTCTCCCTCAGTTCCTCCTGGGAGATGGCCGCCTGAGGCTCGGCGCCCCGCTCCTCCTGCTCCACCTTGTCAAGCTTGGGCAAGGCCTGGCGCTCCACCTCGGGCTTCCTCCCCGACTCGGCCGCAGCCTCCAGCGACTTTTTGTGCATCCCTAAAAAGAATTGTTGGTATTCGGGTTTAGAAAAGCGCCTGGGAAAGCCATCTTGAACTGAAAACAGCAAAGATAGAGAGAGGCCAGAATTAAGGACGAGCAGAAAGCCTTACTTCATACACAGCAGTCACGCGAGTTCCGGGGGGTGGGGTGGGCTGGGGAGGGTCAGAAGTGGGGTGGTCTAGAGGTGGGCACTGAACTACAGGCTGGCAACTATGACAGGGCAGAGGGCGCCTCCGTGGCCAGCCTCTGGGCACATGGCCCTGGGCAGCCTGCGTTGTGCTGCATTTTCTCATCCTCTTCTCTTGGGGTTCCAGGTCTTAGAACCCCAAGAGGAGCTGGTGCTGTTAACAGACATGCATGCAGATGGCAGGTGGGGAATGAGGACTGGAAGGTAGGTTTAGGGCTTGGTTTGGGCAAAGCCAGGACAGGGGCCAAAGGGACTGGTGATCCCTTCAGCCGTAGGGGGCACTGTTTCATTCACCATGAGACCACCTCTAGTTCAAGTGCAGAGAGTACAGACCCCAGGGATAACAGGCCCTCCTCCCAGGACAAAAAAACCCTACAATGGGGATCTCTGACTCTCCAACCAGGAAAGAGCCCCGGGCCCCCACCCTTTTATCTGAGTCCCCCATGCTAGACTGGGACCTGCTTTAGAGGGCCTCTCTCCTCAGCTGCTGTGCCCCAGGCCCCTGCCTCTTCCTCCAGGAAGCCTGCCCCGTTCACGGCAGGGGCAGGGCTCCAAGGAGGGTGTGGGCTCTTACCCAGCAGCCACGGGGCACAGGAGTCCATGATGCCGTCCTTGGCGGACTTGAGGATGGACTCGGGCAGAGGGATGGAGTGCCGCACCATGGCGCCGTAGAGCCCGTACTCTGCCATGACGCTGCTCCGGCCCCAGCACTTCTCCCGCTTCCTCCACTTGGCTCTGCGGTTCTGGAACCAGACCTGCAGGTGCAGGGGAGCAGGTCAGAGGCCAGCTCCGAGCGGCACCCCGTGTCGTGTGTCTGTGCTCAAGGTAGGGCCTCACGCTCAAATTGCCCAGCAACCTCACCATTTGGTGAGTTCAGGTTAGCTCCGTAGTAGGGGGCCCTTCCTTAAACCTACTCAACTCCAGGATTCCCCCAACCTCCTGGGGGTTTCAGACCTCAAATCCTGTGAGTACACAATGGTCCTTATGGCCAGTTCTTGGGTGACTGGGCAGAGTCACTTCTGACTTGCAGCTGGGACTTCAATTTCCAGCTCAGAAGCCCCAGCCCCAGGAGTCACATGACCAGTGTAATAACCAGAAGCTCTGTTTTGGACTTGCAGCAGGACAGACTCCTTTGCAGGGCAGCCTCTTCATCAGAACCTGGAGGCCACAGCAGTCGAGCTGCCAGGGGAGTGTGAGTCAGTGTGTGGTGGAGAACTCTCTCTGCCCCCAAAGCAGGGGAAACTCCAGGAAGCCCACCCCCCAAAAAATAATGCACAAGTCTAAGTGATGCCAAGAGACGGGAAATGAAGAAAAAACTGGAAGGGTATGAAAGCAAATAGAGGTGGTGGGGGGGAACGGGTAGTGTCACTCTAGAGAATGTTTCTCTGGACCAACAGCTGACTGGCGCAGCCTGCCCGAGAACAGGGTACCCTAGAGGTGTCTACACTCAAGACAGATCCTGGGAAGAGATCCCAAGATCCCGGTGTTATTGAGGAAGGAATTCCTGAGACTTCTGTAGCTGGCAGAGCCAGGGTGGTGACAGACACGCAGGAAACTGCTGGGCTCTGGAGGCGCTGGAAGGACCCCCCAAGCCCAGCCTGGGCCCTCTCGCCTCCCCACAGCCCCCCGGGGACAGCCAGGCGCCGGGTGGTGGGTGGAGGGGAGGGGAGAGGCGGGCTCCGGAAAATCTATTAGTTTCTTGGGCGATTTCCATCCCCTCGCCTCGGTCCCTTCCCCCGGGCCTGTCCCCTCCCCCGCGCTCGGCGATGCAGGTATCAGCTTTCGATGAAAAATTGCTCCGGCTCTATTCAGGAGGCGGCAAAAGAAGAGTCACCCCCAGGGGCAGCCCAGGGCTGATTGAAAAATAAGTTAATTTCAGTTTGAATCGATGGGCCTCAGGCACTGAAATATCACGGGAAATTAAAGCGGCGGCTCTCCCGGGAGCGGCGGCATTGACCCGCACTAATTAATGCTGGGGAGGCCGCGCGCGCCGCACCGCGCGCCGCCCCCTCCCCGGGGACCCCAAACACTTCTCATTTAACTAATTAGACGGGCAAAATTGGGTGTTAATTTGTTTAGGATTCTCCCCCCCTTCCCCGGGCAGCTCCCGCCCCCGGTTCCCGCCCGCGCGGGGGCGCGGGGAATGAATGCGGGGCTCGCCGGCAGATGGCTGCCCCGGTCACTCTGCAATCTTCTCCGACTTGATTGCTTGATTAGGTCGTTAGCACATTAAAAAAAAAAATTGCTTGCCGTCTGGCGCTGGCGTGATGAGTGGGACGCGCGGCAGCGCCTGGGTAATTTATCTTTTTATACGGCAAAGAATTTGATTTCAATCTGCAGATATATGTGGCGCCTTTGACACCTGTTTAACATCGCGCCGCTGACAGTTTAACCCCTTGCTGCCTCGGCCGCCGGGAGGACCGAGGGTGGGGGGACCCGACTGTGGTCGCCGGGGTCCGGGGAGCGCGCGCTCCTGCGGTTCCCGCCGCCGCCGCCAGAGGGAGACGTGAACGCCACCAGAGCGCGCAGCCGGCC